CAAAATAAGCATATTAAAGCATTGACAATGTATCCTAGAAACCTGACATCACACTTGAAAACACGTGGCTAAACTTGATAATACTTCACAACTTGAAAATTGTAAAAAAGCCTTTGGCTTTTATAAGCGTATAAAAGCACAAAATTTGGAAATCAGAAGCAAAACACCACAGTAAGCCAGATATTGGCCTACGAAATTCAGCTGAAGAATCAGATAACCAACCCAAGAGACAGACAGCGACTAGCACTTTCATGCCATAGCATGTTTAATTCTAAATTAAAAACAAAAAGAATGCATTAAAATCACAGTCCTTCAAAGCTTGTGAGTACATCCTGGGTTTTCTCACCTTCAGAGCTTTCTCCTCTTTCATCCTCTGTTCTTTCCCATTTGGGACTATGATAAAAATAGGACCTGATTTATCATCATCTTCCTTCAGATTAGGCTTGCTGAGCACTTTCTTCCCCTGTACACCCTGAAAAAAGCAAGGTATTAACAGGCAACATGAGACATGTATGCCTCAGTTGCAGCAATTGCAAGGGTTAGATCCCAGCTAGCCTCATGCTGCCTATGTGTACAAGAGCCAGAGAGAAGCTGAAAGAATAATATTGATTAGAATTTTTAAAGTATGTGCTCTGCTGCTGTGGAAGCAATGCCCATGACAGTGTGCACAGCAGTGCCCTGTGAAATATGACACACCACTCTCAACCAGTGTGCTAGTCACCCACACACATCCCTAAAACCCAACATGGTACCTGTTTGATAGATTTGCTCTTTGTCAGACTTGTATCACTTTTGCTGAGGCTTGTTCTAGCTTTGGATGGGTTGGCATTACCCTTGGACATACTGCTATTAACATCTGACTGCTGTAAATAAGCCACAGAAAAGGCTTTGTTGTTAGATAGCTATTTACTCTTAAGAGTTACCATTCCCAAACCTGTTAACACATTCACAGCAAAGGCCTTAACTCTACCATCAGAGTTCTGACAGAACTTCAGAAAATCTACAACATCCTTCAAGGTTTGCTCTGCTCATTCTTGCCATGAATCTGGACCTACATCAAAATGTTCTTGTTACAGCACTACTTTAGACAATGGAGGCAACAGGACTGTAGAACAATTTCAGTTATTTCGAGTTATATACATAGGAAAAACTTTAAAGTTAATAGAAAAAAAATTTACTGTAACAAACAGAAAAACCTAAAAAATTGACAGGAATCATTTGAGACTTATTCTTTTAAGCATATTCCTTCTTTTTTACACATGTGACTGAGAGCATTTTACCCTTCATACTGTAAGGAAGCGATCAATTTGTTTTGATATATGGGTTCAAAATTGCTGTTCAAGTATAACATTGGAACTGCAATGGTAAGACCGAATTCTCAATAGCATGAAATCAAGGAGACCAAGCAGATTTAAAACAAGCCGAGCTGCTCACAAAATTGCATTTTTGACAACATAAACTAAGAACTAAATAGGTAAAGGCAAAAGCAGTGATTAGGTAAGTGATATGGGAACACCTATCATTTCAGAGCTCAGACAAGCATAAAGATTATTAATAAAAACTCTCCCTAGCAGGGACTATACTCTTCTACCTACAATACATTAATGAACCACAGCTATTAAACTTCATAGAACTGATATTACATAAATTGAAATTTACATACCTTAGTTTTAGAGGACAGTCCTCCTACTTTGGCTTTTTTGGGATCAGGCTTGGATTCTATGGTATTGGAGCCCATATCATCAGCAAGTGCTGGAGAAACAATATACCATTTCAAGCTATCTACAAGCCCATTTTAGGTTCACAGATATAATAAGCTTACCACACAGATCTGAGTATTTCAGACCCACAGAAGAGGTCTCTTGAATTCCATGTTAGCATACAAAGTTTTCATAACTAAGATCATAATATGTTAGCAAATTTGTCATTTTCAAAACCATTAAAGATGCACAGACACATTATGTGCAGGATAGTATCTACAGCTGTAGTTTCACCTGGTTTAAGCAGGCAAGCTAGACCCAGCAGAGAGATAGGGCAGGACTACTTCAAATAACTTGTCCCCTAATCCCATTACCCTCTTCTGCATAAGCATTCAGGTAGCCAAACAGTGAACTATATTGAGGAAATAGTCCCGATTAAAAAACCAATGTGAAAAAATTAAAAAAAATTTATTTTAAGATCAGTTTAGTATTACGAAAAACCTTCCCCTGTAGCCCATGGGGTTTAGCTTTGATACCAAGTAGGTAATTTCAAATAGCAGCTTACAGACGGTTGTATGGAAAGGAAACACCATCCCACACTGGAAGCTGATTCAACTGCAAGAAAGACGAGAACTGCAGGCAGAACTCACTAGATTACACAGTTCTTTGTAACCCTAGCTATGACTAATTCCTCTTCTCCAGCTAAGTATGTTTCTTCCTCTGGCATGTCAAAAAGCTTCAAAACCCACCTTTTTAATCAGTCATTTTGCAGAACGTAAGACACGTTACCTGAAGGCTGGAATTTGGCTGGACCTGTTCCCCCTCCCACTCTGGAAGATGCTTTAGCAGGAAGAGCAGGTTTGGCTGGCATGTTGGCTTTGGCTTTCTCAAGCATGGCCAGTACCTGGTCTTTGGACGTTGGCTAGGAAACAAACAGGGGGGAAAAAAGAAGTGATAAATTTAGTAAGGACTATCACTAATCTTTCCAATACGTGCCCAAGACAAGAAAACCACAGTAGTTTGAAACAAGCTATTCCAAGATACTCAACTTAAAACTTCTGCAAGACCTATGGGAAACCTGTGAACCAGCAATTTGGTCTAGGGCGAGTAGTCCTATGACATCCATGGAATGCCCTACAGTGATTCACCACTCAAGGGTCCATAAGCTAGATCAAACCACTGAAAGTCAAAGTATGAGTACAAATGCATACGGTGGGACAGTAACTGGTATGAAAGCTATCTGCAGGTAGATGTTTTCCAGAAAAAAAGCAGAGGGAATAAATATCAAGCTCTTGAAGCAATAAACCTGTAGTGGCAGTAATCATTTTTGAAGCAGAGAAAGCTCTAACTCACAGCCTCCTGATACTATTTTCAGTCCCCTGAAAATATTCAATGCAGACAAGCTTACATGACTCAAAGCAGCATGTCACAAGACAGTGAATCTGGCTTGTTAATATTCACTCATTCAAGGTCACACTATCTAATCTTTGTTACAGAAATACCTTCAGCTTGCCAGTAGCTTTTGCCATCTTCTCAAAGCCAAGATGCATCATAAAGAATGGCAGGGCATCCTGGGCCTTTTTGCGCACATCCCCGTTTCGATCTTCAAGGCAGGAGTACAGGTGAGGCACACATAAGAGTAGATCAGAAGGAACAGAACGGAGGGTAGGCAACTTCTCAGCCAACCAACCAAGAAGCTGAAAGACAGTTTTGAAACAAGTTTGTGAAGAAGCACTCAGTGCTCTGCCAGGCCACAAGAGTTTGAATAGTAGACCTTCAACATATCTTTCTGTAAGTAGGAAAAACCTACCCCAAACTTATGCAGGCAAGTATTCTTAACCAACATCAACTTCCATGTCAGCAATCATACAAATTGAAAGTTAAGTACAGTATGTTAACACATAGTTATGTTAAAACTTGAAGCCTGGTCTCAAGAGTGTGCAGGCTGTTTCTTCCCTTTGAAAGTAACAGAACTTCAGCTGCACTTTTTATGCCTCCACTTCAGTTCTGTGGTGAATTTGAGGGCAAGCACACTAGCTCTTCAAATGATAATCAAGAGTCAAAAGATTCATTTTAGAGGCACTGAAGTCTGAATAGCAGCTACCATGCAGGAAGAAAGCTTGTTACTAGCCTTTTCAGGTTTTACAATTTTATGTAAGTATGAAGACATAGCCACTTATTTTCTCATATTATGGTAGAACTGCACCATTTCAGTCTGCACAGTTACACAGTTCACAGCAAGTAACCTTACTTTGATTAGACACATGTAAGAAGTTTACTTGACAGAAGCCTACCTCTTGTCTTAGGAAAGGGTTTTCTTTTTTGAGCTCCTCAGACAAGTCTTCCCCTTCCAACCACTCTTTCATGCCAGTTTGTTCAGCCCAGGCATTCACAGTTGCTAGTGCAGCAGCACGAACATTATTCTGCAGCAAAAACAAGATTTAAGAACAATAAACCTAGAGGGGTCAGAAGGTTACAGCAGAAGAGGCAATGGTCATCCTTCCCATGAAAGGAAAAAACTTCCACATCATGGGCTTTGAAATCTCTTCTTATTGACTGCTTGAAAAGTGTAAGATTCAGAAGAACTTAGTTTTAGTGATGTATCAGCTGTGGCAAATCACCAAACCAGACATTTTTTATATAGATATTATAATATGTATATTTTATACATATATAAAATCAGTAAGATCATACTCATCTACCATATTTTTTTAAAAAGTAAGTTGGATAGAGAGTCAAAAGGTATCTTTAAAAGAACTTTGCACCTGTTGCCATTCATTGACAATTTTGCGAGTCTCCTAACTGTCAAACAAGCTAAAGAATAAGGTTAATGATTTATATAATGCTTAAAATAGAGAGCACAATCAAATCAAGGCAAGTGGGTTATGGAGCATGTTATTAGGGCACTCTTATTTAGGACACACATGGGCAAAAGTCAAGTCAGGAACAGGGAAGTCCTCTAACTCCTACCAATTTCTATCTTTAGTGTTCTTTTCCAAGCAAAATTTAGAATAGTACTCTTTCTGAAGCAGCTATGTGAAGTTATGAGAAGCCAGACAGAATACCTAAGACATGGTTCTTTAAAATGTTATCAGTGTAGACATGATTCCATACATACAGCCCTCTCCTGCAGGTTGAATTTCTGAGGTAAGCTGATAATTCTAACAGACTTGTTTATCTTTGTACGAGTTAATATTAAACGCAGAGGTAACATGCAGGCATACATGTAAACAAGAAGGGAGCATCCTTGCAATAACTTGCCATCTTCAATCTCATCAAGGAAAAGGAACAAATCACATGCTGCAGGTTAACAGGAGCTCAGCAGCCTCTGACAAAGCATTGGTTCCCATCACCCAAATTTCATCTGCCTTGATGCATGCTACAAGCTGTTAATTTTCCTCAACTACTCAGTAGGTCCACTATCAACATTTTCAAGTAGGACCTCGTAAGGACTCTCCTCCTCTTCAAAAACTGAATAAATTAGAAAAATTAGGTAAACCGTGCACTTGCAGCACTTAATTGAATGAGCATACCATCTTCTGTCAGCATTACAATGCTTACAAGTAACACTAAGTGATAGTACAAGTTAATCACAGTTGGTCAACCTTAAACCATGTACTTGGAACTGAAGCAGGAGATGAAGTTTGAACAACCTGGTCTAGTGGAAGATGTCCCTGCACACGGCCGTGAGGTTGGAACTAGATGGTCTGTAACCCTCACAACCTAAACTATTCCATGACTTCACAAAGGGATCTTGCTATTTCCTGAAGATGACCAGCAAATAACAGAAGAACTTAAAAATCACATAACATCTCAGTTCTTGAAGACTCAAAGATAAAACAGTTTGAACCAAGAGGGTTTTTTTTCCATCTACCCCTAGGACCAGTCCCAGTCCTTCCACTGATTGGGATAGGTAGATTCAGCTTCTGCTGTTTTTCCTACTCATATGAAGAGTAGAGACACCTGAAGTATGCTACCTCTGAAAACTGCCTATGACATGTGGCTCAAGACACTGGGACCTTCCCAAGCCTCCTTCCCCCATTGCTTCGAATGGCTCTTTCCTATGATCCTAGGATTTTTGACATAGTATCCTGACAAGCTCAGCACTGACATTATACAAGCTTCAGTGTCAGCTGAGAGCATCCTGCATCTTCCTACAGTTCAAAAGTCTCCTACACAATGACAAAGACAACAATGTATACTGGAATCCACATCAATACTCTAAGAAGTTCTACCAGCAACTAACTATACCAAGCAAACCTCTTCAGTATCTAATGCAGTGTACTTCCAGGATGAGAAATATCTATACAATCACCACATTTCATTTAAGAGCCAAATTATGACACTGATTGGGTTTAGTTACAATCAGGAGAGCACAGCTCAAGCAGAATATATATTCAGACACACATTCATATTTGGATAATAAGTTGCCATTCAGGCAAGAACCTTTTAGAAAGGCTTACAAATTTTTTTGAAAGTTCTAAGCACCATCCACCTCTCAAAAGAAGTCCAAACAGCAATACTTACTTTCAGGCAGAGACCAAATATTCAAAAAGCGAAGAGATAGATGACTGTCCTACCTTACTATCTCCTAGGACTGTAATGACAGGAATCCCCAAATTTTTCACATGCTGTTTGATATTGGGGCCCATTGCTGTTGCTAGCTGCTGAAGAATGCTCAGTGTTTGTTGCACCTGCACATAAAGTAAAGAGGTTTTACATAAAACAGTGTTACAAGCATGTGTGCAAAACTCCAAGATATAAGAGGGGAAACTAACACTGCTGTATACCACTGCTTTTACATTAGAACACCTGCTCAATAACATCTATTCCAGACTTCAAAGTCATCACACAAATAAAAAATAATCCCATATTCTGAGCAAATTAAATTTCATCTAAAAAATATTTCCAAACAAGGGGCAATTCACTTTTGCCAAAAGTGAAGCAATTATTCAAACCTTTTCCTGTAAGATTTGCTTACATTACATTCAGAGGAAAGGTAATTTTCCTTTTCTTAAAGGCTTTTTTAAAAATACAAACAAAGAAAAAGGCAAATATTTATAAATATAGGCAAATATGTGACTCAGTTCACTTTTTTCAATTTTTGATTTCAAAACATTGTAACAGACCAAGTAATAATCAAGGTTCAGAACACATAAAACTTCAATTCTAAGTTGGAAATGGGATTTTTAAAAACATACCAAGATTTTATTGGAGTCATTGAGACGAATTTTCAGAGAAGCTGGAAGTTCTCCTATGTTAGGCTGTATGAACTTTGCCTCGTTTATTATGCTTGACACTTCATCTAGACCTTCCTTTCTGATCTTCCAGTTTTTATCCCCAATCTTAGACACCAGTTCAGCTGTGATCTTATCACTGCAAGAGAAAAAAATTCTTAAGTCATTTAGGTATTAGTATTCAAGTGCTTTGACACAACAGATTTCTGCTTAGAAAGCATTTATAAACATGCAGTTTTAAACTGCAGTGGAAGTATAACTTCAGGCTGTAAACCTACCTAATATCTGTTCTTGGCAAAAGATCCACAACATCATTCCCAACATCCTCCTGCTCATCTTCCTCACCATCATCCCCACCTCCTGTGCTGTGCCTGGAAATGCCACGAGTTGGAGCTGGTGCTGCCTGTCCTTGCATCTGCAATCAACATAAAAGTCAGAAATGGCTATTTCACAATCTTTTGCCTGACATTAAGAACAAGAACACTTGCATGATACTAATGTATTGTCTCAGAACAACAGACTTTAAAACACTACACTATTCAGACAAACCCAGGAACTGCTGAAGCTTGTAATATAAAAAGTGACTATTGACATAGCTATACATAACTAGTTTGCAGCTTTTGTGCTCTGTCTTAAAACATCTGGTTCACTTACAAAAATACAGGCTAGACCACGATATTACTACAGATTCCAGCTACTGAAGTTACAAAGTAGTTTTAGTGACACTTGGTAGTAAGAGAGCTTCACTTCATACCTTCTCAAATTCTGCATCTATCTGGGAGAGAAGGGCTGGCTTCTCATCCTCAAAAAACATTCTCAGGGGAGGTCCCACATAAAGATACATCACTCCCAGCAACGTAATGGCAGATGTTCTTACAGCCTATCAGAAAGAGGACAAAAGCACTCAGTCTTCAAACTAAGGAATGATAATAATTTAGCATTAAGATCCTAAATTTACTCACTGGGTTAGTTGCAGCAAGAGCTGTCTTCACATTACTGATGAAAGCTTTGACATTCAGTCTGTGGGAAAAAACATATCTCCCATAAGTAAAATGCAACACAGTAAACACCAACAAAATCATAAAAATATGTTGAAGAAAAAACCACCCTGAAACAGATTAATACAACTAACTTACATGCAGAAGATATTTGCACTTACAAAATATAATCACACATACAGTGTAGATAGTAGCTATTTAAATAACTACAGAAAGAGATTGGTTTGGAGAGTAGCCTACCATGAAAACCAATACAGTAAACAAGATAGCTGTAATAATAGTAGGCTATAAACTAACAAGTTTCTTAAACTGCTTCACTTCTGTGACTGCTAGGACTGAAACACCGAGGAATGAATCTAGAATAATTTTAAGCACCTAAAACATGACTACATAATAGAGCCAAGGGTTTGTTGTTGTGGGTTGGATTTTCTGTTTTTGTTAGTCAGTCTCAGGATCTTCCAGAAAAAGGCACAAATTGTAACAAGAAATTTGCAAGAGAAATAAAGGAAAATTTAGATTCCTGAATCTTCCAGACCATCTGTGCAGCCTCGAACACCACTGTGACAGTAACATATCTTCACCCAGATTACCCTGCTGTAAATACATACTTTTGGGGGCATTCACCAAAGAAGAGCTTATTTTCCAGATTCAATCAATGTTACCATCCATTTAATAGCTGCAAAATGTCTTAAGACAGGCATAGTAACTGTCCAAGTAATCGAATAAATTGATATTTGAAGTCTTCACTGCTTAGAAATTTTCTTCTCAGGAATAAACTGTATTACACATGCTTGACCACATTTGGTTAAGAGACTGGCAACTAAAAATTAATGAATGCTATCTCTGGCTCTGACAGAGAATCCATTTCTTACCCTCATGGCACGAGATATAATGGCTATTTTGTTGATCAAAACTTCATTCATCCTGTTATCGGACCTAAAATGTCTCCCAAGAAGAGTAATAAGCATGCTGGTATGTACTCTTCTGTAGGCTGTCAGATTTGGGTTGGTTTTGGTTGGCTAATTGTTTTTTTTAAACCATAAAATAAAATTACTCACCTGGGTGCAGGTGTATCCAAACAGAATGAGTATAACAGACATGCAATACTACAGCTCCTTGGCCAGCCCACACTTACAGTACTAAAGTTTAAGAAAAATGCTCTTCAGAGAAGCTTGAGTGATGAACAAAGCATCTAGTAGTGTAATCATGTTCCATCCTATCAGTAATGACAGATACTTTCATTTATACATTCAGAGCTAGAACAGCAAATTATGCCTAGCATTAGAGTTTAAGGAACAAGAGTTCAGATTAAGAACAGAATCTCAGTCCTAGAGTAGAAACACTTTCATTCAAGTTTCCCTTAACAGTTTGCTTACAAGACTTACCCAGAAAAGCCAAACTCTTTAATTGCATTTGAAAGCCAGTTCAAAGTTTCTGACTGGTTTTTAGGATTTTTCTGAGAGAAAGCCATAGCCACAACCTGGAATAGAAGAGTTAAGCATAAATTTTCACTGGCAAACTAGGCAACAATGTACTGTAATAAAGAAATGAAGGCACGTGCAAAAACCACAGGGCATTGTAAGTGAACAGAAAAAGCTGGAGTAACATCAGAAGAAAAAGCAACTGTGTCACTGCAGCAAAATACAATTGGAACTGAAGTGAACCAGAAGTTCCTGAAGTACTTAAAGGTAGCCAGAGACACTTTCATTATGGATGTGTACTTGCTTTGGCAGTATCAACAAAGTTAAGTGCAAGGTGCTGCACCTGGTTGGGGCAAACCTCACTTATCAATATAGGCTGGTAGATAAACAGAGAGCGAGACAGCACATGCAGCCCTGACCTAGGAGGACTTGGAAGTGCTGGTGGGTAAGAGGCTGGACATGAGTGGGCAATGTGTGCTTGCAGACCAAAAAGCCAACCACATCCCTGGGATGCATCAAAAGCAGCATGGGCAGCAGGTCAAGAATGGGGATTCTACCCCTCCGCTCTGGTCATGAGACATCCCATTTCAGGTCCCCAGCACAGAAAGGGCATCAACTTGTTGATGGCCCTCCTCTGGACTTGCTCCAAGATGATTTGAAGGATGAAGCACCTCTAAGAAAAGGCTGACAGAATTGGGATTGTTCAGCCTGGAAAGGAGAAGGCTCCAGGGTGATCTTACTGCAGCCTTCTAGTACCTGAAGTGGGCCTACAAGAAAACATTTGACAAGGGCATGCAGAAATAGGACAATGGAGAATGGCTTTAAATTGAAAGAGGAGTTGTGTACGCTCCATCCCTGGAAATGTTCAAGGCCAGACCGGACAGGGTTTTGAGTAACCTGGTCTAGTGGAAGGTGTCCCTGCCCATGGCAGAAGGGGAAGACCTAGATGATCTTTAAGGTTCCTTCCAACTCAAACCATTCTATGATTCTATTTCTGCTTTCAGAGGAACATTAACTTCTGCCTCAGGAACTATCTTGAGAAGAAACGAATCACTTTAAAGTCACAGAGAAAAAGCTAAGATTTAGGATTTACTCCTCATACTGAAATAACAGCCCACCTATTTCTGATTTACTGAAAGAATACCTCTGCACCTTACTCACCTGCTCAGCAGTCCATGGCAACTGGCATGCCTCTGCTATTGCTGTCATGGCTTCTTTTGCATTATTTCCACATTTCACATCACCAACCTTGTCTACAAGCCCATCCAGTACCACCTGTGCTGAAGTCTTGGAGAAGTTTCCTTTCTGTGCAATCAATGCAACTATATGCAGTTTCATCTGCATCACCTGGAATGTCCATTACAGCAAGAAAGTTACTCGTGCTTTTGTGTATTTTAGACAATTTTTTTATTCTATATATCTATAGATACACAGAAAATTATATGCATTTGTACGTAAACACAAATGCATACATAAAATACATATTTGTGTATATTTATACATCCGAATATGTAAAAGTGTTTACATCCAGATATA